GAGAGATGTAGAGGTGAAGATGGCAGAGAGGAAGCGGGGAGGAGAAGGAGATGAGGGGAGCACTCCTCGACACAAAATCAAGGAGATTTTTTTTCCCCTTTCGCCTTTCTCAACCCCTCACTTTTGTCTTTCCTCTTTCTATTCTGACCCTCCTCCTCATCTCTCCTTTTTTTATTACCCCCCCACCCCGCACACACACCCTTTCCCTTCTTTCCCTCGGCAACTCCCTGGTAACCCCTCTCCTCCTCCCCTCCCCCCTCCTCTCCTCTCCTTCCATCTGTCTTTCTTGCTGCAGTGCCCATGCTGCCAGGCAGTATAAATCACATCTCTGGGCTTGGCTGCAATGGGCCTGAAAATAAAAAGGCATAAAAGTGTCGGGATGAGCTACGGGCTGGGGGGGAGAATTCCTTTATGATGGGTCTAAATCCTCCTCCCGCCTCGCGTCCCCGGCACACACACACACACGCATTCACACACACATAGACACACAGATTGCTTGTAGACGCATACACATGCACAATATACACCACTACTTTGAAATTATCCCCCCAAACTGTGGCAGTCTGGGTCTCTCTCTCTCTGTCTCTCTCACACACCTGTGCAACCGTGCAACCCTCCAAACACACACACACACACAAACACACATTCTGCCACACACCATATTAAGCTCTTTGTTGGCTGTGATCAGAATTGAGACGTCGTCTCACTGTGCCCTGTCTTTAAAGGGACGGGTTCAACTAAAACAGCTTATGTTGACATAAGCCTTGGCACTGTCATCTGCCCTTAGACACATTTCTCTTAGTGTCTTCTTCTTTTTTTAAAGAGCAGGAAGAGGTAGAAATACCATCTACAAGTTGCAGGTTGAAAGAGTAGTCACGTTACTTGCAGCCCTTAAAGAATTTCAGTCCATTCCAATTTGAATTTTATACAAAATTGAAACTGCATTATGATGCAGAAACTAGAAGTCACAGGTGATAAAAGGATTACGCTTATGCAGATGGGGACTTTAACATTTTTGGGCACAAAAATGATATACAGGGAGCTCCTCTAAGGTTTAGTCTACTATTAATGAGGGATAAACGTAGTGGATGGGAGAGTTAATGTGCACCAAGTACCTGAAGCAGTCCTTCTTTACTGTCTAAAATGGATTTTGCAAAGGTGTTCACCCTGCATTATAGAACAAAGGAGAGTCACTTCACTGTGTATAACGGTAATTGTGGACAATTTATGATCTCTCTGGTCTCCATCTATGTATCGTTCTGAGTAAATAAACCAATAAAAAATGATTGAGGACGCCTATAACATATTGAGATGAACCTGCTGGCAGAGATGCATTGTAAAGGTTGTCTAAATGATTATGGGAATGAAGATGGAGGTGAGTGAAAGCCCGGTGGATGGGCAACTCCATCACCTGCTAAAATCAACCTATAGCTCTGAGTTCTCCTTTAATCTACGTCCCGATGTGCACTTTGTCAATTCTATTAGATCACGCTGTGATCACACACACACATACACACACACACACACACATATAGAGTGATGATG